CAGCCCAGCTCAGCTCAGCCCAGCCCAGCCCAGCCCAGCCCAGCCCAGCTCAGCTCAGCCCGGCCCAGCTCAGCCCAGCTGCCTTTGGGGTTAGCCCAGGGCTGGACACCCCACAGCTTCTCTGGCCAACCTGCCCAGTGTCCAGTCCCCTCGGATTTTAGTTTGATGTGGAATTGCTGCATCTCACCTGGACAGGAGGGAGTAACCAGCTTTGACAGCTCTGCTCTGGGTGAGCTCCCTCCACCAGGGCTAAAGCTCCGTGCTTTAGATATTCATGAAATGCAAAAACTTCTTGGAATCTTGAGCTCTTAGCCCCTCGGATAAAAATGTACAACCTCCCTTTGGGTGGCTGGGTGACATCTTGTTCCATGTAGTTCTGTCTGTGCTCATCCCTTTAGATTTTGGGCATTAGTGAAGCTTGGCTGCAAAAGTCACTCGCAGGGATTTTCAGACCCTTCACTCTGATCTGAACTGGACAATATTTTATTTTACAAAACGATGAGACTGATGAAAAAGCATTGAGGAGATATTCCTGCAAGATCCTCCAGGTTTATTCCAAAGCCAGCAGGCACAAAGAGAGCCTGAGCATCTTGGGGGAGGGACCCTGGGACCTTGCAGGTGAAACTTTTGCCTTCCTTACCCTAAATAATGTCCTGAGCAAGGGAAGGAAACCCTGGAATGTCTTGGCTGCCTGTTGGGGATTTTACCTGATGTTCCAGGTAGATCCCAACCTGTCCAACACCTGTCCAGCAGATTGAAGGGGTGTGAGCCTGAAAATCAGGCAGGACATGGCAGACACAGTTCTCATGGATCCCTCAGATGGGAGGCAGAAATTACTCCTGCTAATAAATGTCCTGAGCACAAAAAGAGTCTAAATCTCGTGAGGAATCCTGAAAACATCCAGTCTGGAGAGGGACAGGGGACAAGGGATGGAGGGACAGCACACAGGGATGGATGGGACATTGGGATGGAATTCAGCTGTGGCTGTCCCTGGATCCCTGGCAGTGTCCCAGGCCAGGTTGGACACTTGGAGCACCCTGGGACAGTGGGAGGTGTCCCTGCCATGGCAGGGGTGGCTCTGGGTGGGATTTTAGTTCTTTTCCAGCCCCAAACCATTCCATGACTCTGATTCTGAAGCCCGTTTTTGAGGCTGCAGATGGCACACCCTGAGGAGGGGGATGTGTGTGGTGGGGGATTTTCCTTCCCTGGTGGGAATTTGTTGGCATGGCTGATAAAAGTGATTGCAGCCAGGCCAGCAGAGCCTCCCTGTGAGCTGCAGCCATCCCAGGCTGCTGGGGCTGAATTCCCTTGGGGATTTCTGCAGGGGATGAAGCTCCCAAACCTCCCTCTCCTCATTTTCCCCTGCTGGCTGCTGCCAGGGCCCTCTCCTGGCTGCTCACTCCTTCATTTTACAGATCCTTAACCCCTGAGCTGGAGGTCTGGCCAGTGGCCTCCCAAGATTAGCATCCCCTGCAGTGAGAAGGCTTTAATGTGTAATCCTGTCCCCAGAGAGCCTGCACATTCCCCCGGCCATGTCCTGGGCACCAGCAGCTCCACGGGCTTGTCCTGCCCCTGTGGCATCCCCTGCAGGGCTGCTGGTGGCACCAGGAGGGCATTTTTGGCTGGATTAGCCGGGAATTGGTTGGTGTGAGCGTGCTGAGCTGTGCAGAGATGATCAAACAAACAATTCCACGCTGTCAGCAGCGCTGCTGAACGTCCCACCCTGCCCTGGGATCCGGGCAGGGAAGGTGCCACTTGCATGGGATCCTTGTTTTTACTGCCACGAGCAAGTTTGCTTTGTAAGTACGTTGTTAATGGTGGGTTGTTTTTTTTTTTCCTTTAAGCAAGACTTGGTAAGCTCTAATCCTACATTGGTTTATATTAGCAGGGCTTGTAACCGGATTTTCAGCTATCAGCCAGCTTTAATACTTGCTAAAATTGCTGTACAGGTCTGTGGGATCTGTCAGATTTGCATTTTGGGTGCAGTGCATTATCTGCTGCCCGTGCACATTCACAGGCACTGGGCCTTGGATGGGTTTGGCTTCTCCTTTTTGTGTCTTTGGTGTCTTTGGTTGGTAGGTCAGAGGCAGAAGGTGTGTCTGGGGAGGTTGGGTTTGGAACTGAAAATTCCTCTTTCCCCAGCCCTTGGGAAATCAGATCACAAAAGTTTGGTGTTCCAGGTTTGATAAGGGGAAACTGAATTTTGGGATGGGGTGGGGGACAACAAATGAGCTGGAAGTGTCCAGATTATGGCAAATAACTTTGGTGAAGAGCAGAGGGGGTTCTGCTGCTGCTCACTGTGATCCTGAACTCTGTGTTGTCCTGGCTGGCCCAGGGAGGGGGTGGCTGCTCCAGCCTTGTCCCTGTGTCCATCCCTGTCCCCATCCCTGTCCCTGTGTCCATCCCTGTTCCAGGGTTGCTGCTGGGAATCGCTGCCTGCTTTTTTTTTTTTTTTTTTTTTTTTTTTTTTTTTTTTTTTCCATTTGCATGTGTTGTGCAAATATTGTGTGCAGAATTGTGCAGTCTGGTCTGGGGGTCAGGTTGGGGAGGATTTGGCAGAGGTTGTTCCCAGCTGCTCCTGCTGCAGTTTCCAGCAGCCTCTCACTGGGCTCTGCTCAGCGTGGGCTCATCTGATGTGGAATGCAAATATTGCCATTGCAATTCCTCTTGTCTCCCTCCTTCTCCAGCCCCGGGTGTGCTTCCCCTCTGTGTTTAAAGAACAACCTGACTGCTAAAAACCCCCCTAAAGTGGAGGGGTTTCTTCAGGTTTACCTTTCTGACCCTGACTGAATGTTCTTCCCTGTGAAATCTTTAATTATGCCAATATACCAATATATTTTTAATGGTAACAAAGAGATTTTTTTTTCACATATTTAGAATTCAAGCAGTGGGTGCTCTCCAGCAGCCTCAGTGTGGGTCCAGCCCAGCACTCTGTTCATGTCATAAAATCAGAATATTGAAGAAGTTCTTGAATGTTTGTAACTGCTCCCAGGCTCTTCCTCACACTGTCAAGGACTTTTAGTGTCTTTTTTTTTTTTTTGCTTTAAATAGTTTTATAGACACACAAATGACAGGCTCCTGTCTAGAGGAATTTACAGTGGAATCTAATTAAATCCCTTGCTGTTCTGTACCACAAATAATGGTAAATAATAATAATGTCTCTTGACACATTGCAATGGCACTTTTATCTCCAAAGCACTTTGCAAAGCTAAGTAAAATATTACCAAAATGATGTTATATTAGCAAATAAAACATTGAGAAAATATTTTCTCTTTCAATTATCAAACTTTTAGCTGCTCCAGGCCGTGGGGGCTGCAGGGAGAGGCAGATCCAGAGGAGCTCAGGGATGGATGTGCTCAGGTCTTGTGTTCACCTTGGCTCCCCAGGCTCTGCCTTGTATAAATGTAAAAAAATCCGTTTTATTTGGATTTATTAGGTGTTGTGTATGTATTTATTTCTTTTATTTGGATTTTATTTTCTTTGGATGTGTTCCACACCTGGGAGCTCCTGTTGGAGCCCAGCTGGGGCTGGGTGGGGGCTGCTCTGGGACAGCCAGGTGGGAATTTTGGGACAGGTCCCTCAGAGGGACCTAATATTTAATATTTACCCCTAAGCAGAGGTCTGGACATGTTTCAAGCTCCAAGGAATCCCCTCCTGCTCCTCTAAACCCAAACTCTCTCAGCAAATTGTTGAACCCATTGATGATTTGTGCTGGTGGCCTTTCCTTGTTTTATGATGTAAAACAAACTCCAAGCCCCACAAAAGCCATTTTTCCATCTTATTCTTTCCTTCCCAATCACAGTATTATTTTATTTATTTATTTATTTATTTATTAAATTATTTTTAGAGTTGAATCTCAGCCCACCTGACCCCTCCAAGTTGTTGATTTTACACACCAGGGTTGTGTTTTTAGTTAATTCTTCCCTTCTGTGCCTTAGCATTGGGGTTGTTTTTAGGAACTGCAGGTTTGCACTGATTGAAGGGTTATATCCAGGGATATTTTTGGGATGAATTTCATCTCTTGAGCTCCAAGCTTGCAGGTATTGTCAGCCTAAGTGAAGGTAAAAATATTAAAAGCATGAAGAGATGTATTGGCAGAGAGAATCTGTAAATATTTCTGTCCAGAAGAAATTGGAACCAGTTTAAAACTCTAATGCTGTCCTCAGAAGAGTTAACAAATTCAGGCCTCCTTAAAATGGAAATAAAGCTCAAAGTCGTTAGTCTGGGGTTTAATTTTGAACCTTTCCACTGAGTTATTCCTGTTTAAAGCTTCAGGACTTTTGGTTTTGTTCTTTTGGTCCAACTGGAGGCTTTTCACTTCCATGTGAGCCTGTTCTTGATGTTCCACGTGCCTCAGGACCCAGAAATTCCCATTATTCTGTGCCTTGTGTTTGAAGAGCTGGATCAGACCAGTAGAAAATGAATATTTGGGTGTCTGGTTTTCCTGCCAGTCCCTGTTACCTGGGGATGTCACATGGTGCAAGAATCCATTTGAAATATTTCAATGTTTGTCTTTTGACTGGGTCATTCTCTTCTGCTGTGTCAGTATTCCCAGGAGAAATCATGGATGAGAAGATGTCCTACAAAGAGTTCCTGGACCACAACGACTCCTGGCCAGCAGAGGAGAGGGAGCTGTGCTTCAAAGCCATGGACATGGCTGGTAGGATGGCTCAGGGGCTGAGCTTCCCTTATTTTGGCAACCTCG